AATAGTGAGCATTAATAAAACATTCTATTTTACTTTACTTCGCATTCATCTACTGTCATAAATAAGTTCGATCTAATCTAATTTGATTTAGATCTGATTCAAATTTTGGCAGATATTCAGGATAATTTATTGGACCAATTTTAATTTTGTATAAATAAGTTTTGTTAGCTATAGTTAGCAGACTCAATGAAGACATATAAAACAGAATTTAAGATTATTAGAGAGTTATGAACTTTAATTACTCTCCTGTTCCTTGAATCATGAAAGATCATCTCTTAATCCCTTTAATCATGATTAAAAGAATAAGAAATTCAAATATCACTTGCTTTTTACAAGAAATATTGAAAGTTGTCAAATGAAAACTTCCTGCTAAAGGAATTCTATGAAAATATGTTTGAGCATAACTAATTCCATTTTTTAAATAATAAATTTCATGTGTAAGACAAAGTATGCTGATAGTAATCATTAAAAAAAGCACAATTCACATTCCAAAATTATATGAACATAATACATATCCTACCTGAACCACAATAGAGTTGACACTCTGATATTAATAAATTAATTGGGAGCTGCAGTTTGGAGTTATAAAATTAGGCACTAGTTGTCTAAGTATCTTCTAATATGAGATTAGGTGGGCAAAATAATCATGAGAACACAGAAATATTTTTTGTATGTGTGCAATACTGTTATCTCCATTATATCATAGTAATATTAATAAGTGTATGTATAATATGTCTTCCAAAATTGCAAATTAAACATAAATATAATAAATATTTACTTTATTAAATATATTAAATTCAAGTCAAATAAGTTTAACTGCTTGTCAAATACATTTGTTGAATTAAAAAGTATGACATTTTCCTTGTAAAAATTTGAAAGATCATGAAAAATATTAAAAATTAATAAAAATAATCCACAGTCCCAGATAGGGATAAGTTTCATTAAACACATTGTACATTGAATTTCAGATTTACTTTATATACCTTTAATAAATTAAGATGAATATACACGTATGTGTGCCTGTAACATGCATCCCATTAATTATCTATTATAACTTTTTTTACAATTCATTAAATAGTCTTTGAAAACACTCTTTGAAGGCAGCTCAGTTGCTCAGGTTTTCATTATATGCTCATTTTTTAATTGAATGAAACCCCATTAGACTTTTGGATTGATTACAATTTTCCAATATTATAAAATCATTGTAATAAACATCTCATAAATGTTTGAAGACATCTGATATTATTGCTTTTGAATAAATTCCTAGAAGGGAAGTTATTTGGCAATATAAATGAATCAACATATTTAAGGCTTTGATATTGCAAAATTATACTCAAAAAGTTTATACACATTATTTATTCCCATCATCCAAACTAGGGAATGATGATGGAATCTGATCAGAGTTTCTTCAACTTTCTTTTCCAAAGACCCTAATGTTAAGCACGTGTTTAGGGTCTTCCTTTAGTTTAGCGTGATCAGGAAAATGTCTCCCATGCGTGGTACCACTGACATCCATCACCCCTCCCCACTGTCCATCCCAACTTTAGTGATTCAGAAACTGTATTGACGGTTTGCATGAACAGAGAGTGAGGGGAAGAAAAGGATGAGTAAAGAGAATAGGAGTATTGAAGAGGGGAACTGGTGTTTGAACATTTGTGTTCATGACATACACTTACCTGAATTTCTACCAAAAAATTCTTGAAAGAAGTGACACCCTCCACTTGAGTGTAGGATATACAAAAATGCTAATTCCTTAGCGATCTTTTCTCCAAGAGACTAAACATGTGTACAATGAAAGTCTGTTGAGGCAAGTAAACTCTCTACTTCAACTTCATGATATTCAAAGTGTTGAGTTTTTTAAGCCCAAGTGGCAACTGCACTCACAGCCTTATTTCTCAGGTTGATGTAGTACATTTTCTAAAAGCCTACTAACTTCTGGAATCAAGTTCCCTGGTTTGTGACCCAAGTTTTACAAACTGTAGCAAGCTGAGCCTTGAAGTGCTAGAGTTAAACTTAGCTTCTCCTGAATTAATATTAGATCAAAAGTAATCCCAATATTTATACTGAGCCTGTAGAGACTTAAGGTGGTTGGTGCTGAGTATGTGCATTTGTTTCCATTTTAATAAATGTCTTTCCTTTTCTCAGGACAATTTTCACATATTTCATGAGTCCATATTTTAACCTGTTCTTATGTTTTATTGAGGTGTAGCTTCCATACCACAGAAGTCACCCTTTAAAGTATATATTCAGTGGTTTTTCTTATATTTACAGAGTTGGGCAACAACTGCCACTATCTAATTTTAGAATATTTTTTATCACCCTCCAAAGAAAACCCATTCTCGTTAACCAATAATCTCATAACCATTAAGTTACTCCCTATCACCCCCACCACCCAGCCTCTGGCAAATAATAATCTACTTTTTGTCTCTGAGGATACGCGTATTCTGGACATTTCAAACAAATGGAATCATAAAGTATGTGGCCTTTTGTGTCTGGCTTCTCTCATGGGGTTTTCAGGATTCATTCCTGACTCTTGTATCCATACTTCCTTTCTTTTTATTGTCAAATAATATTCCATTGTGTGGATACACCACATTTTGTTCATTCATTTATCAGTGATGGTCATTTCATTTGTTTCCACTCTTGGCTATTAACGAATAATGCTATTTATGAACATTCAAATACAAGATTTTGTGTTCCCCTGAGTACATACCTAGTAGTGGAAGTGCTGAGTCATGATGCATTCTTATCTGAGTCATTCTACCTTTGCATGTACGTGTGCAAAAGTCCCTTGTTTTTTACTACATCCTTTAAAATATTCTCTCATATTTAGTTTCAATCAAAATATCTATACATCTGTTCTAATGGGGTTGAATTTATAGATATAATGAAGTAAGTAATCTTAGTATAATGCTCTAAAACCTAGGGCAAACCAGCAAACACAGAGTCTATTGATTATTGAAATTCTGTTCCCAAGCAATAATATCAATTGCTTGTGGCCAGCAAGTCAACTGAGTTGTTCTTTTTTGTCGTAATTATAAAAGTCCATCATTTTAAATCTATAACTAGACATGTCTTCTTATTTCTAAATATGTCATGACATGGCGTTCAACATTCCCTTCCATGAAATGTTGCTATGTATCTAACCACTTATAAGATTTTAGTTCTCCACCATTGGAGAACCATTGGAAAAACTAATAAAAGAACCTAGGAATTTATATCAGAAGTGATGAAACTTTGTACTTAACTTAGAGGATATTTTTTAAAAGGTTGGAGCTATTTGAGCTAATAAATTGTATTCTCCTTTACCATGGTGAAACCAGGTTTGTCTTTGCTGTATGATTTGGTTAATTTGGTGAGATTGGTGTCCCTTTTTAGAATCTAAGTTTCTTAAAGAAAAAAAAAATACCTGTGTTTTCTCTTTACTCTCACAGTTCTAAATATCTCATATGTTAACATGTCCAGATTAAAGATTTGATAATAACATTTAAAGTGAAGATGGGTTAACATATTTAAAAAGAAATGTGATGATATATATCAGGGCAAGAGGCAGACTCAATTGTGTGACAAACCATAAAAAAAGCATTTTTTTTTTCAGAGAAGCCAAGTCAGCTTTATATATTTTAAAGCAGATCATTACATTACAAAAGAATTATTTCTTGTTTTTTTTAATTGATTTACCACATTTAAAGAAATACAGAGATTTCTGATAAAGGGTTTATAGTAATATATTCTGCCCAAATAACTAAAGGGAAAATCACTATTTTTTTCTAAATATAAATGAAATTTATTTTGTTTGACATGGAACCGGGGAGACCTGGAAAAGAATCATTCATTCCTGCTTCTCAAGACTTTTTTTTTAATCTATACAAACCATATTGTTACTGTTATGATTCACCTAATTTTTAGATGTAGCATTGCAAAATAAAAGAGCAGACTCTGGCTTCTCTTAATTCCCCTCCCTCTGTGTGTGATTTTACCACTTAATGCACAGTCTTTCAAGCTGTTTGCAGTGAGTTGACATGCTGGAAAGTAATGTGTCCCAGGTCTCAGGCAAGCCTAATGCAAAGAAAAGAAAGAATTATTTTTTTTTCCTAATGCAGGAGTTATGAAGGTATCCTGACGCATTGAAAAAAAAAGTCTTTTTTTTAAAAAAACTTCTTTTATGCTCTTTATTTGGAAAATTCCAAAATAATAATGTATAGAAACTTGCATTTTCTATTTTTTTATTTTTCTTTCCTGTAGTTTTTGTCATGTTTTGTCTTCATATATAGGTTAATTAGGGAAGTCATTGTTTGAATGCATAGCATGGTGGTATTTTTGCTTTTTAAATCGAATCACAAACAATTCACAAATTTCACTCCTTTGTGCTTTCCAAAACATTTTCCCAAATTGGCTTTAATTTAAAACAGAAATTTTTTTTTATTTGTAAAGGGATATATATTTGTTATAAAAGATAAGTGTGTAGATAGAGTAAAATATTCTTCCACTACCTCATTTCCCAGATACTAGTTTCCCCACGAGAAAAGCAGGGCGGGAGCAAGGAAGACAGGCGAGGGTCGGAGGGCCGCAGAGGCGAGAGCGGGGCCTGGAGGCTGGCGGCATCCGGTGCTTCGCCGTCAGGTCTTTGAAATGAGAGAAGTCGAGTCGAATTACACGAAAAGTGACTACAGATGAAAAGTAAATTAAATTTTTTTAAGATGTCACTTTTTTAGTTTAAAAGCAGTGAAGTGTTAAGTTCTTGTTTTAAAATAACGATGGTTAGAAAGCATGGAAAATAAGCATTGCAGAGTCGTCACTTAACAGATGCTAACAATTCTATGAACGTTACTTTTTGTAGTTGAAACCAAAAAGCCATTTATTAATAATAATAATAATAATTGGTATTATTTTAATGTTCCATCTTCGGTTGGCAAACACTTTAAGGCTTTATTTCTTTGTTTCCACTTAGGCCTCTTATGAAGGAGCTGAAGGAGAAATAAAATATACAGGATGAAAAGATGGCAATGTTGCCTCCCCCAGGTCCTCAGAGCTTTGTCTACTTCACAAAACAGTCTCTTGCCCTCATTGAACAACGTATTGCAGAAGGAAAAACAAAGGAACCCCAAGAAGAAAAGAAAGACGATAATGAAAATGGCCCAAAGCCAAGCAGTGACTTGGAAGCCGGCAAACAGCTGCCCTTCATCTATGGGGACATCCCCCCAGGCATGGTGTCAGAGCCCCTAGAGGACCTGGATCCCTACTACGCAGACAAAAAAGTGAGTTTACTGTGGCCGCTCTGGTGCAGCCGCTGCTTCCTTCTGTGCAGGAGGTTATTTTAAATTGAAGTGGAATTTAGGGAAAAACTACATCAGAACAAAAAAAAATATTCAAGTAAATACTTAGGTAGGATATTCAGAATATGTACTTTTCCTAAGTTTTCATTGAAACTGGTTATATCATACCATTTGATTTCCTTAATCTTTTAAAAGTGTGTGGTGTAATGTTCTGCCTCTTTGGATACGCCATAAATTCACACCGGTAGAAACAAAATACTTGTCAATTGACAAGTAAGGCCTCGGGACTTGTCCAGAGCGCATTTATATGGAGGTGACAGCTGACTCCATGGGAATATATAAGATCGTTCAACTAATAATGAAGTTTGGATAGCTGCTTCATTTATGATGTTGAAGAGGGGAATCTGAGATGGGCAAAGAGGTAAGGCATAAATCAGAAAATTTTCCATTATTCAAAGTAGGAAAAGGCGTATCTCCTAAAATTACCCAGAAAGTGGATAGACACAGGTTATTAGAATGAACAAGGAGGACTAGTTGGTAACTTTCTGCAAACAGTTTTTGTTAGATGATGGAAATCAAAGCAAGGGAGAGGTGGATAGCAAATAAAAAGAGGAAGTAGGTGGCAATATATGAATATTGAGAAATTTTCATGTCTCAAGAAAAATTCACTTGAGGTACTGAATCAATTGAAAACCTTTCTGTTTATACACATAGGGTATAAAATAACATGTTTGAAAGAAAGAAAAATTGTTCTCAGGGAGAAAAATATAGCTAGTTGCTGATGTTAATAGATAAGGTACAAGCTACAGGTAAGATTGTAGTTGCATTAGAATAGTGGAGAGAAGCCTTATTTTCTGAGGCCTGAGTAGCAAACAGGAGGATGGATTTAAGAGTCTGATATATTAAAGTAAATGTAAGCACATCAGAGGAAGTGCATGTTAAATGCTGTCAATATTTTTTGTACGACAGGAGTAGAAGTTGCCCTTTGAGAGTCATCACTGAGAGTAGCAGAGCGAAGGTCTTGATCACACTAAGGAAATGGGAAAAAGTTTGAAGCAACTGCTAAAAGGTTATTGTATCGAGAAAATGAGAAGGGGCTAACAATAATTTTTGACAACAGTAGCGGACACAACGAGGTAGAAGATGACAAAGAGGAGACAGTAAAGGATTCAGTCAGCAGGTTTCCTGACTCTCTCCAGCAGTGCTTTGCGCACAGCACGATGCCTGCAGACTTGTCTTTGAGACGTCCGGAAAGCCAGAATGAAGGCCACTTAAAAATCATTGTGATTTATTTAAGAAAAAATAAAAGGGAATATTTCTTGTTACGATATCTAGCAAATAAAATGACATGTGAAACGTCTTGAGAAATATAAAATATGATGAATTTAATTTTGACGATGGAAACACATCTGTCTCAGTGGTAGTTATTATGAAGCAATACCTAATACGAATTTTAGTTCACATCAAAACCAGCATCTAAACAGCTGATGGCATAACAGCAGAAAGCATAATACCTGAGAAGCCCTTGAAGTATTACACAGCATTCTAATTATCCAGTCATTATTCTGACATAGAAAGTAAGAATGCTGCCCCGGCTGGTGTGGCTCAGTGGATTGAGTGGCGGCTTCCAAACCAAAGAATCACTGGTTCAATTCCCAGTTGGGGTACATGCCTGGGATGCAGGCCAGGTCTCCAGTAGGGAGCACGTGAGAGGCAACCACACATTGATGTTTCTCTCTTTTTCTCCTTTCTCAAAAAATAAATAAGTAAAATCTTAAAAAAAGAAAAGAAAAGAAAAGAAAAGAATGCTAATATGTATTTAGGGTCTCTGTGTCAGGAATTAGACATTTTAGACAAATCAGCACACATACTTAGCAGAACCTGGTGAGATAGGAATTAATACCCTACTTTTATATGAGATGAAGGGCTTGGGGAAATTAAGTAGCTTGCTAAACACTACGCACTAGTAAATGTATTAGTTTTTTTTTTTAATTCAAGTTTGTTTTACTCCCTCCTGAGATGTTCTGTTGTGTAACACCCCATAGTCTAGTTTCTGTTGTGTAGCAACCACATGCTAACAACATTTTTTTTAAAATGAAGTAATTAATGAGTAAATAATGTAACAGTTGAAATAAAAATACTTTCTAATTTTACTTATTACTTCATTCTAAAAAAATTCATGGCTTTCCATGGATACCTACTGCATTTTCCCATTTCCAAAGCAGACCTAGATATTGCTTAACCAGCTACCTCCTAAGAAGGAAAGAAATCTTTCTGGGATAATACCCAAGTCAGAGATATAAACTATCAATAATATTAGCTTGAAGTGACTTGAGAGGTAAGGAGAAAATGTTTGCATTTAAGTGGAGGATAATAGACTTATAAATGAAGAGTAATTTTAGCTATGTGATAAGCTAATTTAATAAAGAATGTTTGGAGTAAGACTCCAATCCTTCACCTTGACCCCAGCTCCTTTCAAAAAATACAACACCAACCACATCAAATACTTCACAGACCCTAACTGCTAGCTCTCAAGCTGCTGAAGGGCAGATATGATATTAAGAATCTTATCTGTCCAACTCTAAAGTTGTTGCTCCTTTAGCACCCTAATTTTATGTTCGATAAATTCTTAAATAAATAAGCACAATTAAAAGAATTTATTCAGACTTTGACATCTATAATATTTTGCTAATAGTATTGTAGAATTTTGTAATGAAACTCAGAATGATCCCTAAAATTTCATATGCATACCTTCTTTTCCTACCTGTAATTACCTCCTGGGTGTGTGTAAACCCAGACATTCCTAAAGAAGTTTCTAATGCAAATGACAATTGGCCATTTCAATCTAAAAATTACAAACTATTTCCTTTTAATTTCAAGTATAAAGTAACTGTATCTTGCCAAGGCTAGGTAGTAATGTTGTGATTTTTTACATTAGCTTAGGTAACTTTTGGTTCCTGAAGTCTCCCTGACAGACACGTGATCCTGTTCCCTTTTCACTCTCATACTCCTTCATTTTTATTTCCCTGTATACCTGTCATACCTTGTTTATATTAGAGTTACTGTGTTCCTAGTACTTTTCTAGGAAGTTCCTTGAATGCAAAGTTCATGCCTCGTTTATGTTCAAAATCCTGTCATTGCCTCTTACGCAATTGTTACTCACTACGCAATTGTAGAAAGTGATGGGTGAAGGAATTTTAACAAGTTCAGTATATTGAGATTCAAGAAAACAATAATTGCACTCAAACACTAGGTATTAATTTTAAGACTAATTTTCAATGTACAAGTGAATGTTATGTTAAATTTTGTTTAGACAAAACTGATACAGTGAAAGGGACCAGGAATATCAAAGGATATCCAAAAAGAACAGATTCAGGTTCATTTTCTTTAGAAAATTGCCATATACAGTTAAAAAGCGGGAGACTCAAACTTACATCCCTAATTTGGAAAAATGATGATTACTAGAAGGCCACTCCTTAATTTATATAAAATTCAGATTAAACAATAACAACAAAAAGGCAACAACAAATCAGTGCATTCTAGTTAACACAAATAATTTGCCTGCCAGTGCAGAAAAGTGGTCTTTGTGATTTTTCAATCCAAAAACATTAGATTGTTTTAATGTTTTGTATTGTTGAAGTTTATTTGTTTGGGTTTTAAATGTTTTAACTAACTCCCAAATCCAGAGAGGATGTCACCCATTACGTAACAGTTACGTACATAGTTTAAGATTGTTTGGTTCAAGTTGTATCATTTTTTAAAATAACCATGGATAGTAGCAAGCAAGTCCTTTAATTTGTGTCCTTTTATTTTAGCTTTTATTAGTATTACATCTAAAATAAGAAAATTGATCTGGACACTAGGATTCTTCCAACCCTAATATTCCTTAAATTTGTTAGAACATTTTTTTGAAGGAATTCGTATTTTGGAGCACCATGACAATAGCCAACAAGTATTAAAAGTCTTAAGGTGTCAAAGAAAAATGAAGTCTACGGTGTTATGGTTAAAATCAGGGATAGGTAGTTTCTATTTAGTTTGCTTACAATGCACCATAATAAAAGAAGGAAGTTATATTGTAAACTAATTCCAATGGCCACAAATTGCTGTTACTGATGTTGGTGTTGAAGGGATATAAAAATGAGAAGCCACTGTATTTTGGAGCACTGAGCAACACAGGCTCATAAATAGTCCACTTCTAACTTGCTGAGAAGTAATGGACTTGGAGTTCATTGGCCAACCTGACATATGTAGCTGCCCTCAGTGATATTAGAACCATATTGCTTGAGTCTAATGGCACTGTTTCATTAATATGACACTACCACAGGGCGAGGTAAACTGCTGAGATTAATGTACTAGATTGCTATTTTGGATGCTCAATTTCATCCTGTTTTCTTTTTGATCCTGCAGACTTTCATAGTCTTGAACAAAGGGAAAGCAATCTTCCGTTTCAATGCCACACCTGCTTTGTACGTGCTCTCTCCCTTCAGTCCTCTAAGAAGAATATCTATTAAGATTTTAGTGCATTCATATCCTTTCAAGATGCTTACTTACAGTGGTCCTTTAAAATATAGTTTTTGCTATTTTATTTAAATATTGATTTTTAGTCTTTTCACACCTGAAAAGACTGCTTTTAGTTTATCATTTCAGTGTAACTTGGTGTAAGTCTCTAAGGAGATTGGGAGAATGGCAGTTTTAACATTTTAGGATAAATTACTTTTACCTATTACTCCCATGTTCAAAAAGATAAAAATTAAAGTGTATAAATTTACTTACAGTTACTTATTGTCTTAAGACAAAGATTTCAACAGGTGTCATTATTAAATATTCAAGGTTCCCACCATGGTCTTTCATCATATTCCTTGATTCTAAGCTACTTTATTCGGCATGCTTATCATGTGCACTATTCTGACGAACTGCATATTTATGACCTTGAGCAACCCTCCAGAATGGACCAAGAATGTAGAGTAAGTGGGCACAAGTACATTTTAATATGGTCTTGGTATTGTCATTTTTATCCTTTCCTTTTCCTACCAGGAGGTTATTCCATCTATAAAAATTGTGGTATTTATCTTCCCATGTATATTTACTTTTCTTTCAATTATTTACTTTACTTTTTATATTTTTCTTTTCTTTCAATTATTTTTTTCTCCTCTACAGTATTAACTTGCTAGCGGTAGACTAGAGTAACTAGATAGAATGATTAGATAATATAGTATTTTCTAGAGGAATGAACTTATGAGACACCCTGCCTATTGTTGGATGTGTTACATATTTCTTATCCTTGGGTGTATTTCTGATAGAAGCAATGTAGGGCTTTTCTAGGCAGATCTAAACCTATGTTTTTAATAATTTTAAGTACCTCTGCTTTCTACAAGAGGTCTGATATGGGCATTTTAAGGTTTCCTGGAAAGATCTTGACTGGTTTTTTTCTAATAGTTAGAGTGGGTCCACAAACCAATAGCCACACTGCAGTTGATGCCTTTCTTTGTTTGATCAGAAAGAAATTAAGTTATAAAGATTCTAATGGTGCTGTTTTCTTTTCATATTTAATATCTCAATGGACGCTTGTGTCTAGGTACACTTTTACTGGGATATACACTTTTGAATCACTTATAAAAATCCTTGCAAGAGGCTTCTGTGTGGGACAATTCACTTTCCTTCGTGACCCATGGAACTGGCTGGATTTTATCGTCATTGTTTTTGCGTAAGTACTTCATTCATATTTTTAAATGGCAAACTCATGAGAATCACAGACATTTCAGTCAGAAGAAAGTTTTGGGGTCTGATTTTTTTCCACATATAATGGTTATATTTAGAGCTAGTTATTTGTAGGCAAATAGTAAGTTTTTCAGAAGGTTTGTTTTTCACTCAAAAGTGTATTAATGTGATTAAGATTGATCCTTTCCCTCCACACTCAGCACTTGGATGGACAGCCTTTGTGGTGCCAGTTAGCATCACACATTTTTCCAGTTCTTATTTAAAAACTAATGAAACCTGTAGGAATCACAGAAAAAATCAGGTCTTTCATTGTAACTATGGTACCCTTTTTATTAATCTATGCTAGTCAAGTGCTAATAAGTATATTGAAATACAGAAATAAAAGGGCTGTCACTGCATATTAAACCTAATAGTAATGCATTGCATATGTATTACACATGCATCTACAGTTTATTTTCAAAGGAAAAATATTACATTAACATATAATGTCAATTTACTCATATTGTTACTCTCTTCCAAAATATATTTGTCAGAAACATTTGTTTTATTTTTAAAATCTCAAACCAACTACCATATTTTTCACTCTCTCATTTTGATTTGTAAAATTAGTTAGTTCATTGGAGGAGCCTAGGCAATATTGAAGGGTCTCCAATCCCTCAACCCTGTCCCACCTCCTTGTCCATCACGCTCCCTCCTTTCATGATCGCGTCTGACTGCAGCTGTATTTACCACCTGCTGATAAGATAACATTGCGTCCCACAGCACTGCCTGTTCTCAAGGGAATCTCCTTTTCTATTGAAATAAAATATACATACTATAAAATTTACTCTTTTAAAGTATAAAATTCAGTGTTTTTTAGTATGTTCACAGAGTTGCGGAACCATCATCACTAACTCTGGAATGTTTTCATCACCCCAACAAAGCAGTCACTTCCATTCCCTCCTCTCACATCACTGTAAATCACTCACCTAGGTTTCATCTCTGTGGATTTGTCTCCTCTAAGCTTTCACATGAATGGAATCATAGTCATGTGACCTTTTGTGTCTGGCTTTGTTCAGTTTCATACAGTTTTTAAGGTTTGCTTCTGATGTTTTATAGGATTATTAAATCTATAAAGTACCATAAGGTTGATATCTAATAATTGAAGCATTTACTTGTTTATTTGGGCATTTCAGTGCATGAAATTATTTTAATAATAATAATTTATATTTTGCTCACATCAAATGAGTCCAATAAAATCTAATAAATTAGTTATGATAGGAAAAGAAAAGGTTTGCAGAACTATACCTTTAAATAAGACATTCCAATCATAGGAAATAACCTTGACTAAAGGCACGGGTAAGTATTATAGACTCTACCTAAATTCTGAATAACTCTGATTTAATTCTACAGGTATTTAACAGAATTTGTAAACCTAGGCAATGTTTCAGCTCTTCGAACTTTCAGAGTGTTGAGAGCTTTGAAAACTATTTCTGTAATTCCAGGTAAGAAGTGATTGGTGTGAAGCATTAGGCCACTCATAACTCCAACTATCTGGGAGTTGTTCTTTGTTTGTGTGTGTGTTGTCACTGTGTTTGTGTATAAACTCCCTATTACAGATATGTGACAGAGTTTGTGGACCTGGGCAATGTCTCAGCGTTGAGAACATTCAGAGTTCTCCGAGCCCTGAAAACAATTTCAGTCATTCCAGGTGAGAGTGGGGTTAAACACCGAGGCTGACTTTGATCATGTGGAGGAAAGACAAGAAAAATTGTCTCTTATGCAAATTTAATGAAATCTACTTTCTTATGTTTTTCAGAATCCTTATTAAAAGTCAGCCTTTGAGTTTAATCAATTGCATGGGTCTTAGAGAATGAAGATGGCCGTCTGGCTCACATCTCAACTTGAAATTTTCCCTCCTGTCTAATAGTTCCCTTTCCATTTGACTTATTCAGGAATGAAAATTTCAACTGTTTTAATCATTTTTCATAGAGTTAAGAAAAGAGAGGAAAAAATCAGCATGAAGGTATTGCATGGCATTTTTTTTAATCTTTCTTCAACAAACCATTTCTTAACTGAAAATTTGTGAGTTGTCACTATGTATTGCAGTTCAGCCTCTTCTTTAAGTGTAGAGAAATGGTTTGTTTGACAAGCATTTACTGAATTGACACTTTTAAAAAGTATTTTTTACAAGTGAGCCGTGGATATGGTTTGAGCAACTAAATTACTCACTTTGACAATTTGGTTATTTTTTGGAAATATTTTACGATTTTTAATCATTTGTAGTACTATATAGAAACAAAATATATATAAAACAACAAATCCACCCTTTTGACCTAGTGGACTTTTGTTTTTTAATTAGATTATTTAAGGCCATGGATTTGATATAATGCATGCATTTCTAGGAAAGCTTGTGTTTGTGTTTGTTTTGCATTCAGAGACTTTATCTCATTTTAAATATCATTTCTTCTACCCCTTGCATTCAGGCCTGAAGACCATCGTGGGGGCCCTGATCCAGTCAGTGAAGAAGCTCTCAGATGTCATGATCCTGACTGTGTTCTGTCTGAGTGTGTTTGCGCTGATTGGGCTGCAGCTCTTCATGGGCAACCTGAAGAACAAGTGTGTGCGGACTTCACTTATAAGTAACGAAACAGCAAACATATTGGATAACCTTGATGAAGAACACTATAGAGGTAAGACTATTCCTGCAGTTGTTAATAGGTTGAAATAAGGCTAAAAGCATGAGCTCTTTTAGTAATGAAATGTTGCTTTCATTTTATATTTTCAGAATTATTAAAATACGTAGAAAGTTGCTATAGTATAAATTTTGATCATATTATATTTTTATAAATCTCCCAGATTCAAAGCTTTCTAGCATTCCTGGTATTAGAAACATGAGATGCTTTAATAGTTCTCAATTTCTGTAAGGTAAAAAAGAATAAATTTGCTCCAGAAAAATATATTTAATTGTGAATTAATGTCATTAATTAATTACATTTCATCATGAGATGTATCATATATTTTATGTTCTCCACTTTTATTGTGTAACTCATACATATATTTATTTTATAGTGTATTTTATTTTAAGTATAACTATAATATAATATGATATACTTATATTAATAATAATATAATTTTAATATTCATTTTTATCACATGTGAAAATGTCTGTCTTGATAGTGTTTCAAAAGAGTTGGATAAAGCAAAACAGTTTATTCAGATTTATTAGTACCATCCTTACGTTATAACCAATGATGAGTTCTTTCTAATGGCTCCCTCAATCTAGCCAATGCATCACTTCAAAGCTTAATTTATCAGAATTAATTCTGTAGATACCATATGAGATGACCGTACACTCAGTCTCAGAAGTCTGCTTAGTTTACAAGTATATTTTAGAGTATGTCACAGAAATCATGAATTGCATGTTTTCTCAACAATTAATCGCCTAACAGTTTCTCTCACCAAAGCTGTTGATAAGTTTGGTGAGAATGAGATCAAACAAGAGTGTGCTTTCTGTCTAACACCTGCAATGTGTCTGTGTGATTTTGCCCACATGAACCCAAAAGCCTTAACAGATCCAGAGGTGGAGTATAAATCTAGGAAATGTTCAAATGTATGTGCCTGTGACAGGAGATCCACTCACTGGGGAAAAGAAAAGAAAAGAAAAAACAGTAGCTAACATACATAAACTCTGTAAATAAAGGGGGGGGAAGCCTAAAACAGGAAAACTGAAAATTTTCAAGTAAAACATGTAATGTAAATATTTTATACTACCAGCTATTGATGAGGAATTTAGCATATTTTGCTTGCTTTCTTTTTATCTTCACTTATTTTTCCAGTTTCTGATTATTATTAATATGGGCTAAATGTTATTTCCAATTTCCAAAGAATTTTGTTCTTCAATTTATATGACATAAAACAATATATTTTACAGGTAATTGACATTTACATTCTCTTTTGTGAATCAATTTACACCTTTAATTAACTTTTGTTTTCAGTAGGATCGCTACCAGTCCTTTTATTCTGATTCTTGGTTCTGTTCCTCAATGTTCCAGAATTTGAATGATTATTTTTAACCCTCTGGAAAGGTCTCAGCCATGTTTTTCCAAAAAGTAGAAAGAGTCCTTGCATTTTGCAAATATGTCTTCATATTTCCTTTACATATGAGTGAGTGACAGCTTACCTAATAATGAAATTTTATTCCATATTCCTTTCCCTCAATTCTGCACATTATTATTGATTTTCTTCTGAAATATAGCTTTAGAGAGGAGATGTTTGCATCAAGTTTGACTTTGGTTTCCTATCTGTTTTTGTTTTTGTTTTTTTGCTATAGAAACTAGGTCTTTAGTGTTATATTTATTCAGGTATTCATTTGTCAGCCATGTATATTAAGTGTTTCCATTGAGCTATGGGGATAAAAATGGTAGCCTCAGCCTCTACTTTCACAGAGTTTACATTCTAATGGGAATGAAAGAATAAAAGTAGGGGAACACACAAATAGGCAAAAATTATTGCAAGTTTTAATAAATTCTATGCGAAGAAAATAAATCTCAGAGCCTGAGATACCAGTGAAATGGAAAGACTTCTCCAACAAGGTGGCATTTAGGAAGAAATCTAAGGGATAATAAGAAGCATAAAATATTGTGCATGTGTGAGTATGGGGGCTGCCACTTGAGTTACAAGGAATAGCACATGGAAAGGTCCTAAAGTAGTATGTGTTTGCAGAATGGAAAAGCAGCAGTGTGCTTAGACTTCAGCAAGGGAGAGACAGAGTGGCAATTGAGAAAGTGTGGGGGAGGAGGGGAAGCACAGATCGTATCATGAAGGATGTTTGGCCCATGGAAAGGAATTTGGATTTTATTTTAAATGCAGTGGTTTTAATCACTTTGTGGGGAACTCCATATGATTGGGCAAGGGGTGGTAGACTGGAATAAGAAAAACCAGTTAGAATGATGTTTCTGTCATCCAAACAAGAGAAGACTGTGGCTTCATGAGTGTTGGTGTGAAAAGAAAAGAGTGAGTTCAGGATAAGTGTTTAGGATTAAAGAGACGAGGAGGGTCTGTGGATGTCTTCTAGGTTTCTGGGTGCAATAACTGAATGGTGGAAATGAGGGAAGGTTAAGCGAGCTTGTAGGGGTAAGTCAATATTAACCAGTTAAAACTGAGATGTCATTGAGACATCCAAAAGGAGATACAAAGACTATAGCTGGATTCTTAAGAATAGAGATCAGAGAAACTGCCTGCTTTAAATGTACATACTTAAAAGTAATCAACAACAAAAAAAGGATATTACACACATAAACATATCCTTCCGAAAAACCCTAATATGTACAAGTAGGTAGCAAATTGGCAGCTGGTGTTTAAAGCAGGCTTGTCATTTAGAAGATGCTCAATTCCACAACCCTCGTATCTGAAAAGCAGGTAGAGAGGAGGACCCAGAAAAGAACCAGAGAAGGAGTAGCCAGTAAGGCAAGAAGCAAACAAAGATATAAATGGCAAAGCCAATAGAAATAGTATGTTGAAAAAAAGGGAGCGCTTGTGGTGGATGATGCTGCAAGACCAAGGTTAAGGATGATGAAGATAGAAGAATGTACATTTGCTTAAACATCACGAAAGTCATCAGAGACTTTCATGGGAAAATGGTAGTGAAGAAATAGGAGCACAAGGTTGGACTAAGATGGTAACGGGGTGAATAAGGCATCAAGAACAGAAGATCATTTGTGTAGACAGTTCTTCCAAGAAATTTAGTTGTAAAGGGAAGCAGAATAATGGGAGAAATGGTGGCTTTTTTTTAAAGATGTGTTTTGATAGGAATGCTCTTCTAGTGATAGAAGTGAATGAGTAGTCAAATATAGATTAATAATTCAGTAGAGAGGGAAGAAATTTAGACCTTGAGAAAGTGGAAGAGCAAATGGGAGAGACATCTGCACGATGGAAGCAGGACAGATCAGGGGTGAGGGTGGGCTGCAGCTATCAGAAGAGAATCAAGTTAAACCCAGTGGCTTTTATTTCCTCAGAAAAGTGTTAAAGTGGGATCACTGGCTGAGACTGGAATTGTGCACGTTTGAGGAGAATGCACTATATTTTAGGGAATGGGACAAGTAGTCTGTTGTGAGCGCCAATTTAATATTGGAGATCACTTATTTAAAATGTGATCATTCACTTGGGTATGAGAGTTTCTCCAAAAACGTTCAGGAACTTAGGAGCAAGAATGTAGAAGGTGGATGCTAGGTGATGTGTGGGATTAACGTTCTGTCAGGTTAGTGTGATGGACTGAGAGATGCATAGGTGTTGAGGAAATTGTGAGAGAATGATGCTAATGAGTGCCCAGGGACTCTAAACTGGACACGTGCTGAGGCAAATGAATTGAAATTCTTTAAGCTATCTAAGAATTACAATGGTTAAGGCCACCTCTATAGAGAGCCTGAACATATTCTGAAAGCGTTTTCTGGTGCTGACAGAAAAACCTCTTTGGAGATACTTTTAAATTCATTATCAAATAAATGAGCCCATTATCTAGCCCCATGTTTAAAAATATGTAATCTATAGATTTCCCTTGGTGCTAAGCACTGTCCACTTTGATACTTCAGTATCTTCCTTCTTGCTACTGCAGATGAAGGAAAGGTTCATTTGCACAGTTTGTAGCTTTATTTCTAGTAACAATTGTGCATTAATATAATGTGGTTTTATTGGAATAAAAGGGACTAATCTCCTACCTGTATTTTCTGAATGTTTGACATTTAATAGAAAAGTTTTTGGAAAAACCACAGTACTGGTCTGCACTGAACTGCCAGGACCATTCTTGTCTTTCTCTCTCCCTCTTTCCCTGTGGGACTACATCTCCCAGAATGCAACATGTCACTCACAGTCACTGGGCCTCTCTACCTGATCCCCTGCACTCATTTTCTCAGCATTGACTTATTATTGCCCCTTGGCTGAGGGATAAATCCTTGACTTCAAAAGCCCAAGCTATCATTGTTGCTACAAGCTTTCTGAGCCAGGTCAGATAAAACTAATCATGGAATGTTTACATCACCAATTATGCTTTAGAATTCTGTTCCATGAGCTTCGAAATGAATAGAAAATTTCCTCAGCATCTGCACTAGATTATGTATCAGTTCCAGATTTTTGTTGATGTGAATTTTGCAATTTTCTATTTCTCTTTTTCCCCATATGCATTTTACTGTGAAGGAATTGAGACTAATCCAATTACCTCCAGCCTTTGCCATTATGCTGCATTACATTTATTTAAAAGATTTATAGGAAAGAAATTCACATATCATAAACCCCCTCCCCTTTTAAAGTGAACAGTTCAGTGTTTTTAGTATACTCACAAAGTTATACAACCATCATCACTGTCTAATTGAAGAATATTTTTATCTTCCTCAAAAGAAACCCCATATGTGTTGATAAATCACTCCCCATCCCCACCTCCCCGCCTCTTGACATTAATCTATTTTCCGTCTCTATGGATTTACCTATTCTGAATATTTCATGTAAATGAAATCATATGGTATGTGGCCGTTTGTGCCTGGCTTCTTTCATTTAGCACATTTTTCAAGTTTCATGCATGTAGCATGTAACAGTTCATTTCCTTTTATTGCAAAAGTTTTACTGTGGACATGTTTTCTTTTCTCTTTGCATTGCATTTTCCATTTACATGCTAACCTAAATTCTCTTGAGGCTATCTAGCCTCATCACTTAAGACCAGTCATTTAGGAGTTATTTTAAGTGTTCCACGACCCCGGGGTGAGCTATCCCCATTGTTCTACCTGTCATCACTCTTGTGCTGAACCGAGTGTGTGAGCCCTGTACGTGATAACAAGAACAGCTCTAGGCCCATTCTTATAAAGCAGCCCCTGCATGATTGGGCAGCATGAACCAGTGTTATTTTAATGGACAACTCTAAAATAATCCTTTTGTGATAACAATATGGAGGTTTATGTATTAAAAAGGGCACTTTAACCTCCTCTGTTCTTATTCTGCTATGCCCACCCTCCCTGAGGCACATGATTTGTTTTTCTAAAGTTGTTCATGGACATTCTCACCTAAGTTTTTACCTCACACCAAGAGGCTTTATTGTTTTACTTGTGTCTTCTAATACTTGTACATTCTATGTATAACAAAATGATGATGTGCAAGTCAGTCAATCTTGTCTGAAGATGTTTAATAATTTGACTAAATAGCTACTGCTCTTTGAGCAGCTGTATAGAATGTGTGGATCACTGTGTAAAATGCTTTGCATGCAATAACCTATTTATACTATACCACAGCTCTACAAAGTATGCATTCATATCCACACTTTACAGATGCAGTAATTAAATCTTCAAGTACTAAGATAATTAACTTACAGAGAAAGAGTTAGAAACAATACTCAAATCCAAGTGTATCTAACTTCAAAACCTTTCTTCCACTTTTACTCTAAATGCCCCCTAATAATTACATCTTTATTCCTTTGACTTGAGCCAAATAGGATGTTGGGCCATTATTTTTTTTAATGGATTTTTTTGAGCCCTTTGTATCTTTACTATGAACAGCTGGATCAGCCACCTCATGAGAGAATTTCAGAAAACACATTTTGTTCGTGTATACTGTTGCCTTGCTGACTACACCACTACTGGAGTGCTTCGGGGGTCCACAGGACACCCTCCCTTCCCTGCCCTCCCCTTCCTTACGCTTGCTTTCTGTGGCAACACTTTCTCTTTGGGTTAATTCATCAAGTCCCATCAAGTCTACATCTGTATATCTCCATACTTGATAGTTCTACTGACATCAAGGCTTTCATATCAATCCAACTGCCTACTTGACAAATATAGTTTAATACCTAGTAATCATCTCAAACTAAGAACAGCTAAAACAAAGCTCCTGGCTTTTCTTCAGGCCATTTCTTATACCAGACTTCCTCATTTCAGTTACTGGCACCACCATCTTGCCAGTTGCTATGTCCTCTTCTGCACACCCTGCTCGCTCTCCATCAGCAAATTCTGTCCACTCAATTTCCATTCCCTTCTCTTTGTCTCCACAGCAACTCTCTAAATTGTTGCTATGACGCCTCTCACTGTAGTCACTCAACTGGTGTTCCTGCTCCACATTTGCTCTTCTGTAATTCATGGTCTACAAAGCAACCACAGTGAAAATTTAAAATGCTAAATATTGGCCCTGGCTGGGTAGCTCAGTTGGTTAAAGCATTGTCCTGATACACCAAGGTTGCGGGTGTGAGCCCTGGTCAGAGAACAAACAAGAACTAACCGATGAATGCATAGATAAGTGGAACAACAAATCCATATTCCTCTCTCTTTCTCCTTTTCTCTTCCTCTCTCTCAAATCAATAAACAAAAGATAGATATTGTCTTATATCTCTACTTTTCACATCTATTACTTCTAATCACATTGAAAATCCAATCTCCTTTCCACGACGTGCAAAGCTTTACATGATCTGGCAGGTCCCTGCCTACCTCTGCTACCACGGTTCTCCCCACTCATGATGCTGCAGCCATCCTGGGCTGCCATCTGCTGTCAGACAGCAGCTGCATTTCGGCCTCAGGGCCTTTACCCTTGCTCTGTATCTTGCCAAGATTTTCTCTTCACCAGGCCTCTTGAATGGCTGGCATCTTTGTACCATTTAGGCCCCTGTTCAAATATTATTCCTTTAGAAAGGCCTCCCCAACCACATTTCATCACACTGTGTTAATTTATCCTATTTAGGACATTTATTACCATCTGAAAATACCTTGTACGTTTCACTGTATACTTGTTAAGTGTCCTTCTCCACCTAAACTCCACTCTTAGCTAAACATAAAGAAAACTTTGTAAAGCTAATGATCTTGTTATTGTGTTTATTATCATATTTACTGTCTGGCCCATGAGAGGTTATCAATAAATATTTGAGGGAGAATATATGGGAATATAGTAAATAAATAGATATTGTCCAAATGTGTGTAAATGTCTATATTAATTAACTTACCTGCTGTATCACTCTTAAAGCTCACACTCCATACATAACCTTATATTGTTCAATTTTTTCCTACACAGAGTATTTTTATTACCTGGAGGGATCGAAAGATGCTCTCTTGTGTGGTTCCAGCTCAGACGCAGGGTACGTAGTATTTGTTTTTAGTGCAAAAACTGAAAAAGGGGGGGAAACATATTCAATTAGTTTGATTAGTGTATTTAATAAAAGATAAGAACCTTCGATTCTGCATTTTATATATATATATTAAATATATATATATATTTCATGGCATTAATTGACTCCTTATGTCCCACAGTGAGCTCAGACTTTATAATTTTCATAGTTACTGTATATCTCTAAAAATAAGAATTGGAGTCGTTCTTAAATAAAAACAAGACGCATGTCATATAACTCTTAAGACAGTAGAAAAAAATTGCTTCCAGAAAACCCCAACAAAGTTTGGTTGCTTAGTTTCCAGCCTTTCTCCTTTCTGGAAAGAAGGGCGACAAAATCAAATTTTATTTCCATCCTCAAATTCTACTCATTTTTCAATCAAGTATGACTCATAGGTGACTGCAAAAAAAAAAAAAAGAAAAGATCCCATGGGCTTGGTTAAAGATATTTTAAGAATTTCCTATTAATGCAAGTATCCACCTTGCTGTTCCTCCTACACACCAACTTCATTTCTGCTGCAGGGTTTTTTTGTTCTTCCCTCCTCCCATGCTGATAGCTTCTCACAAGGCTGCATAGGCACTGGGAACAGAAAAGTAGAGATAAAGCTGCTGTTCCCTAAGATGTCTCTGGTCACTGTGTTTATCTGGCATCATAGATACCTATCCACCAACTTTAGGAAGAAAAAAGTCTTAAGGCTACAAATCTTACACAATTACCATGCTTTGACTATTCTTCATTCTAATTCGTTTCAAGAATAGTTTTAAGAGGGGAGAGCACAGCTTTTTAGAGGCCAAATCAATCTTTATGGCTGGGACTATTATATTATGTGAGGTCTGGTGTGTGTTTCCAAGTTTTGATGGTGACGATGATACTAATGGCAAGTACTGTCTATTCAATACTTTCTATGTGCAGGAACTGGACTAGGTAGTCGGCATATATTATCTTCTTTAAACTTCATAACAATCTCAACTTTTTGAGATAGGTGTAACTCTCTTGTCTTCACAGAAAGAGGGTGCTGGGGCTTGGAAAAAAATAATTTGACAAAGTTACCAACTAGTAAATAATTGGGATCCCACTGGGTGGGATTCAAACCCAGTTCTTCCTAACTCCAACTAATGTGGTCTTAATCTTTATTCAATATTGTCCCCTGGGAAAAGGAACCTTGAGTTTCTCACTTTTCTGTAGGACTATTCTGCTTGCATCCTGAAGACATTCTGACTTGTGTTATTCTTTTTCTCATGCAGTCAGTGTCCAGAAGGGTACCATTGTCAGAAAGGAGGCAGGAACCCAGACTATGGCTACACGAGCTTTGATAATTTTGGCTGGGCCTTCTTAGCCTTGTTTAGACTAATGACCCAGGATTACTGGGAAAACCTTTATCAACAGGTGAGTGCCAAGAAAAATGAATGTTTTTACTCATTGCATTTATTGCATAATCTGAAGTGGGTTTCTTGCATAAAACTGAATAATGTATTCCATTTCGAATGGAGAAAACACTATTTTCTTATTACTACAATTAGACAGTTTTTACTTCCAGCACTATTAGAATGGATAGTTCTTGAATGATAAATTATTTTTGTATATTTCCCAGACTTATTTGATCTCTAAATCTCTTCTCGCCTTTGTAAATGTAGCATCTCATAGTATCCTAAGTAAACAGCAAGAAATATGCTGCAGTGTTCGCCTATACCTGTCTTAAAAAAAAAACCCTATGCTTTCCATACATACCTTTCTGCTTGGAGTGCCCTAAAAATCAGGCTGTCCTATGTTCATCAAGCTTTATTTTTTGAACTCCCATATACAATTGTTATGGACTGAATTGTATGTCCTCAAATTCATATGTTGAATTCTTAAATCCCAGTACCTTAGAATGACTATATTTGCAGTTAAAGCCTTTAAAGAAGTAACTAAATTAAAATTAGTCTGTTAGGGTGAGTTCTAACCCAATCTGACTGGTGTTCTTACGAGAAAGGGAGATTAAACCAAGATCATGAGAGATACCAGAGAGACACAAGCAGAGAGAATGTCATATGAGGGCTCAGCAAGAAGGTGGCCTTCTTCAAGTCAAGGAGAGAGGCTTCCGGAGAAACCATACATGCCAACATTTTAATATTGAACTTCGGCCTGTGAGAAATACTTTTCTGCTGTTTAAGTCACTCATTGCGTAGTATTCTGTTATGGGAACCTTAGCAAATTAATGCAAGGATTAAAGACACAGTTCACTTCTCTAAATTCTCCTCTTCCAATTCAATTGTTCCTTGCCCTAGACTTTAATGCCCTTTGAATATTCTTCAGTTTATAGCATCCCTCTTTTATACTGTAATTGATAATTTACATGGGCATCTCCTCTAACTGTAATGTGATCCTCTTGGATCTGAGGGCTCTTTCTTTTCCCCAAAAGCAAGGAGACCAAAAATAATTATTCTGTATTATAAATATAACCAATCACTTTTCTCAACTTGCCAAAGATTCTCCTTTGGCCTATTTTACATTTATATAATTTCTGAAAATATTATAAATGAATATAGAAATGATATAAATATACAGAAAAAAAGAAATACACATGACTTTCTAAGTATGCGAAAAAGATACCTTTTCTGCAAATTAAAATGACAGTGACACACAATTTTCTTACCTGTCAGAATGACAAAGATAAAAAAATAGATCATGAGAAACTTTCTGTCTGAGATATGTAGAGGAAGGCATTCTCACACATTTGAGGGTAACATGGAAATTTCTATGAAAATTAAAGTGACTATACCTGCTGAGCTAACAATTACACTATAAACTAAGAATTTATCCAAGATGAGATGTCATAACAACAGTAACTGATAGAAAAATGATTTGAGTAACTAGGCTTTGGAGATAGAAGAGACTTATTTTTCATTTAAAATCTGTACCATTTGAATTATTTTTACCATTTGGCTTATTTTGAAATTTTTAGTAAATATTAATTAAAAATAAATATAAGATAAATAAGCTCATATGATAAGGTTATCTATCTTGAGTGAACATCATGTATCATCACTAATACTTCTTGTTAAAGATATTGTAGAATTTTAATACTAAAAAGATTATAGACGTTATCTGGTCCTATAATTTGAAAATAGGTAAAGCAGCTAGTTTTTGAGTAATTTTTAGACTGGGGAAAATTCAGGATTATTCTACTTAATAATAATAATTTTACCTAATTTTAGTACAAGTTTAATAGATTGCTATATACTTTATACTGAAAAAGTATGTATTTTAATACTAATTGTTTTCCATGATTATATAATTTTATCCTTTATATTTTGATATCATCAAATTATGCAGAACTGCCCAATTTAACCGTGGCTAATATGCCATTCAAGTTGAAATAACTTACCAAAAAATCCTTTTCATTATCAAAATAATGATTTCCATTTTCTCTAGACACTGCGTGTTGCTGGGAAAACCTACATGATCTTCTTTGTCGTGGTGATTTTCCTGGGCTCCTTTTATCTAATAAACTTGATCCTGGCTGTGGTTGCCATGGCCTATGAAGAACAGAACCAGGCAAACATCGAAGAAGCTAGGCAGAAAGATTTTGAATTGCAACAGTTATTAGATCGACTTAAAAAAGAGCAAGAAGAAGCTGAGGTATTCTTATCTGGCTTAAAATTCTTCGTAGAAGTAGAAGTGTGAAGGAGAACAACAGAGGACCCATGGTCTAGGCTTAGCTTTCCCCGGGGTGATTTTCCTTGATGGATCCCTTTGTATAAACTGCATCTTCATTCTGGTGTGGTTTGAAGGAACCAATTCTGGATTGAGTTAACATCTAACCCAGTCCACTTTCTCCATAATCAGCTCGCTCTGGCACAGAGAATATTCTAAGCTGTTCCTCCTAAACCTGTTACCTATGATTCCTCAGTATCTGTGGCTTTATGCAAAGTCCTAAAACATGATGTATTTCCCCAGAACAATTGTACACAAAGGTTTAGGGGGAAGTATTTTAATGTTAAAGTTAAAAGATACTCTATGGGGTAGAAAGCAAAATGTGCCTCAATTTTTTCTCAATGTGTTAAGGCTATTTAAGATAAAAATGTGAGATGTTAAAAAATTATACTTTTGGTTTCAGCCACTTCAAGCTGTCACAAGTTTTTGAGGATTTCTCCTTAATCTTTGTTCAAAGGAGTACTTCAGTGGAAAACTTTGAGAAGGTTTATACTAAGAGAACCAAAATTTCAAATATTCTGCAAGAGTCTTAAAACTCATTTGATAGTTTGACCTAGTTAAATCTCTTCAAGGAATCTAACCTATTGGGGAGAGGGTGGTAACCTATAATGCAGGGAAACTTTGATGCAGAAAAATGTTCATTGCACAATTTTAATAATATTAAACATCTAAAAGCATTTAAATTTTCAGAAATTAAAAAATGGTTTAGAGGATTATGATATTTTTTGTATCCTGGAGTATTTTTTCAACACCATTTCCTGTCATAATTTATGTGTTGAAATAACAATGTGTTAGGTAGTAGGATATAAATTGAATATAAGACATAAATAATTTTAAAATGATATATATAAGGAAGAAGTAGTAATGCCAATTATTTGGGGATGTAGAATTATGAGTTATTTTTATTTCTTATTCACAATATCTTTATTTTCCAAATTTTCACAAGGTGTTTTTGTTTGTTTGTTTGTTTTTATAAAGAGGTAGGTAGCATAAGTTATCCCAGGAATTTCCTAGGGAACCCTTAGAAGTCTCTTATATTATTTTGGGATATTATTTTAATTTTCAGACAACCTATTCTTTACTAAACTATAGAGTGCCTGATTATTTTAATAGTATTAAGTTAATCATCTGAACAAGATATGCAGATTATCTTATCACATCATTTATACTTTATGTCTCAGAATTACCTGGTAAACCTATCACATAAACTATTTAAAACTGCTTTACTATAAATATAGTAATACTACTTAATAATTTAATTCCAAAGCACAATGGCGCTTTATTACAAACAATAAAAACATATTTGTAAGCTCTCTGGTCATAGTGTAAAGAAAACGGCATTTCTTCCCATACAAAGAACATGACACAGTATAATTAAATTCATGGTAGAGAGGTGCCCTGTCTTCAGGGTTCCCAGACTTTGGAAATGACTCACTGTATGTGTGACATCTGGATCCAACAGGCAATAGCAATGGTAGCAGCCGAATATACAAGTAACAGGAGAAGCCAGATTATGGGCCTCTCCGAGAGTTCTTCTGAAACATCTAAACTGAGTTCTAAAAGTGCCAAAGAAAGAAGAAACAGAAGAAAGAAAAAGAATCAAAAGAAGCTCTCCAGTGGGGAAGAAAAGGGAGATGATGAGAAATTGTCCAAATCCGGATCAGAAGAGAGTATCAGGAGAAAAAGTTTCCACCTTGGTGCTGAAGGTCACAGGCGAGCACGCGAAAAGCGATTGTCTACCCCTAATCAGGTACCACTGACACTATCGAATATGTGTCACCAGAGGTAGGACTATATAGCAAAATATTCTATTCTGAGGGAAGGGACATCAACAGAGGAGAGTGGGTGACCTCATTGGTATGTTTTTAGATAAAAACCTATTGATTGCTGGGCATTTATGGAAAGAATATGGATGTACATAGTTTTTCATTTAAGTTTGTAAGGAGCTCATAGCTTTGGAATTGTTATATCTTCTCCAATAAAAACATTTTCAAAACAATATTCACAAGAACCATTGTAGAAATCAAAGAAATTATTTACACTATAGATTAACTTTTACATTTTTATCTAGTCTCTGTTTTGTAATGCCTATATTGGTTAAAAACTAACCTTAGACTAGTATTTTCTCTTTTCTTCACCACTGTAAGTAATAAATCGCCCAAATATCAGTTACCTAAACATGACAGCCTCCACATTCAACTGCATCAAATACCAACGTCTAGTCCTATAGTCTGTTGTTTCTGCTTGTGTGCAATTTCTCTGTTTTATTCTTTTTCTGCTGAAACCTCCATATTTCAGGCCTGTCTACCTATAAACATCCAAGATAACCATTGCACAGTCATGCAAATAATTTGTCTAAATCAAAAACTGTCCCTCTGCTCAAATCAAGTAGAGAAAAAATGCTGTTGAATAAGTACTACCTAGAGAACAAGGCCCACATGTTATCCAAGCCCCACATGTTATTGTTATTCAGCCTCATTTCCTGCCTTTCTGTACCTTCAAGCACACTCAGACTACCATGATTATCCACGTGCACCTACGTGCCCTGAACTTTAATGCCTTTGTTACTTAGCACACATGGTTTTCTGTAAGTGGGATACTTTTCTTTCTTGTTTTCCTTCTGGCATAGCACCACCCATGCTTCATCCATTAGCTCAGGTGCCACCCATCCCCCAAACGTTCCTCCGTCCTCTCCGCTGCCCTTAATCAGCTTTTCAGTGCCCCACTCACAATTACATTCTTCTCTCCTGTGTTTTCATTTCAATTTCCTAGCTTCTAAGACTTAAGTCTGCAAGGCCCTGTCGGATTATGTGTAGAAATAAAAGGTGTAGTCCTTGCCTTCGAAGACTTCCTAATTTAGTTGGGGAGACAGAATTTGAATACATGCCATATCAATTAAAAACCATGACAAGAGCAGTCCGAGCTAGTTTCAAGGCAAAAAGCTTGTTATGCACATTTTTTTCATTACTCACTATGGCTGCCATTTTGTTCTCTACTGTAGTAAGTGTTAACGTTTATTACATTAGATACTTCCAAAGAATATGCATTAAGTTTGGTTTATAGACACTGTTTACCCTGGACATGAGTCATACAAATGTGACTTTTTCCCTTTTTTTTTGTATTGGACAGCTTCTTTTCCAAGTTCTAATATTTTATGACTTTGTAAACTCATTAGTATTAAAAGGTCTTTCTTAAGACACCTTAACTGAGCTCTCAATATAGAAGGTAGAGTTCTAAGCAATAGAATGCAAAGAAGCACACAAGGTGTAAATAAACCAAGAGAGTTTAATACTTATGGAATTTTGAGATTGATAAATGAAAATCTAAATAACAGGTATCAATACCAAATTATTTTTTGAAGTGCTATATCCTTTAAAGCAAATGAATGGCACAGAAAGAGTGGCAAGGTCACTCCAGGCCAGAATCGTAGAAAGCTGTACAGCAGCAAATAATTGCCTGGTGTTGAAAGGATGGGTTCTTTCAGCCTTTCCATCCTTAGTTGGAAGAATTTGGCTTCATGCGAATTGCCTTGTTTTGAAATATGTTTCTTTTCAATGATATAGAGCCACCTGCCCTCAGGTCAATGGTTTCAATGGTAATTATGTGAGATGCACTTCTGTTTTTAGGGTTGCTTCGGCAGGTACATGTCATCTTTTTTTTTTTCCTGCAGTCACCACTCAGCGTTCGTAGCTCCTTGTTTCCTCAAAGGCGCAGCAGCAGAACAAGTCTTTTCAGTTTCATAGGTCGAGGAAAAGATGTTGGATCTGAGACTGAATTTGCCGACGATGAGCACAGCATTTTCGGAGACAATGAGAGCAGAAGGGGCTCACTCTTCGTGCCCTACAGACCTCGGGAGCGGAGCAGCAGTAACATCAGTCAAGCCAGTAGGTCCCCCCCAGTGCTGCCGGTGAACGGGAAGATGCACAGTGCCGTGGACTGCAATGGTGTGGTCTCCCTGGTTGATGGACCCTCAGCCCTCATGCTCCCCAATGGACAACTTCTGCCAGAGGTGATAATAGATAAGGCAACTTCTGATGACAGCGTAAGGACGTTTTAAATAGCTCAGGCATGGCTCGACCCTTGTTCTTGCATCAAGCAATCTATTTTGCTGGAGGGACCTTCTCTGGTCCTGCGAATGGCTCTGCATTTTGCCATACTTTTTCTGTGGAAACATACCTTTAACTCATTAACTTAATCCTTTTACTATGTGCTATATCCACACAATTCAAAGATTTTTAACACTTCTTTTTTTAAAAATTGAGGTATTATTGATATATAATGCTAGTTTCAGGTATACGACATGATTCACTGTAAGATCCCATTTTTTAAAAAGGTACTTATCTATTGGTATTATACTTGAAGATTATAAACCATCCCTTTATAAAGCAATTTAGAAAAGATATATATCAGCATAGAAAATGCAGTGATAATGCTGATTGTAGTAGTTGCTATAGATCCCATTTTTTGCAAGGAAATTTGGATTATTTGCCACGTTCTGCTGTGTTTCTCAAGTTACTACTTGAATATATTATACCTTGTTGCAAGGGATCTTATTTGAGTTAGTAATAATAGTAATAATAATAGCAAATGTGTACTTAGTATTCACAACAGCCATATGAGGGACATATTACTGTCCCTGTTTGACAAAGGGGAAACTGAGGCACAGAGAAATGGAGCTAATACATCAAAGTCCCGAAGTTCAAATAGAAGCCCTCTGTTTCAGAGCTTGTGCTCTAAACCACACTTTGCCCTCGGTCCAATGTGTGGTCGGCTTCATAACATGGGAATAACTTAGAGTGGCTATACTTTTTCCCATACATAAATAAAATTTCCTGTTTTCAGTTTAGAAAATACTCCATGGTGAGGAGTCTGTGAATAAAAACATAACATCAGAATACACATTAATACAAACATACACACATAAAAAGAAAAACAAAGCAACAATTCAAGAGTTTAGGAATCATTGTGCAGTTCAAGTTTCTGATTAGGTTTGAAAGTGAGATCTTTCTAGTTTTTAGAGTTCCCAGGTCAGCTCTTTAAGCTGCTGTGATACACTGCCTTAACTAAATACCAACAAGGTCTTTGTCTCACCTAATAAACCTTGAACTCATGCTACTTATTCATGTATCCATATTTGAAGATAAGGTAACATTTCAAGTGAGAGTAAAGTTCTATCAAAGCCATTGCCACACATATTTCTGTTTGAATGAATGCATGTGCTTTGAGGTAACATGGGACCTCTGTCCTTGCATGATCCAGCTTCATCCCTCTGTCGAGCTGTTTTTCCTTATCAGATGAGCATGCTAAATTTGGGGAATCAGATCTTTGTTGAGTTTTGCTTTTCAATGTGTATTATCTTTTAAAAATTGTATCGTTTATATCAAATTTGGAGATTATTTCATATTTTTATATGAAATGTTCTCACTTCATTTGAATTGTTGATTAAACAATTGATATTGTCCATTTCAATTGTTGATTAAATGTATTCTTGTCTTGAAGAAAAAGAAGTCTCTGCTTCTGGAAAGTCAGAAAGTAGAGACTTTATCAGAGAAAACATGGTTACAGAGAGATCTCTATAAAAAGCCACCTGCAGATATGTATATGTCTGTGATCATGTACATGTTTATATACATGCATACACATGGGCATAATGATGCCTATGTGTCTATGTTTTGATACACATATATACCTAAACAACTATACAAATTTACAATTCCACAACTATTCATATGTGTTTCTAAACGGTGTATATGTATGTGTATATATACACATATGTATTTAACACACACTAGCATATAGATTGATAGATGGATAGAGAGGTGACAAATGTAAAGTTGTATAGTTGTTTGTATTTAAATATGTATTGTGTGAGCATGTGTTTGTGTGTGTATTGTTGACCTGCTCTCAATTGGCATTGTGTTTTAACTTTGAATTAGTTGCCAAGATTTAGAAATAAGGTATTTCGCATAAAAATGAATATACCTGGTAAAACTGAGCTCATATTCCTGCATGGCAGTAGTCCTTTGAAATAGACAACAGTTTCCTCTTTTAAACGGGGCTTACAATCTGTGCTTTGCTACAGCTCCTATCAGTCTTAATTGTCTTTTTCAAACTGAGTCATTTAATATGAGCTCTACCTTGGCAATAAGAAACAATCATTACAGTCACTTCCATTAATGCTGTTACCTCAATGAAGAATAATTAAAGAAATTCCTCAGGCAATTCTGAGATTCTCTCCTTTTATACACACATCTTCAGAACACTTGTTTAGCTGTTTTCATATGATTCTTATACAGTAAAACTAGCTGAATACATTGGAGACCCAGAAAAGTAGATGATGATAGTGATTATAACAGTAAAAGCAACTCATTTAGTTTTTCATTTCATAAGCATTAATTCCTCTCCTCCTAATAGCAAGAACATAAGGCAAGTACTATGATTATCCCCATTTTACTAATGATGAAACTGAGCCATAGAAAGATCAAGTAACTCCTGTACAATACAGCCAGTAAGTAACAGAGCCGTGATTTGAGCTCAGCAATCGCGTCTCTACTTTTAAGCACTCATTACAGCTACCTAAGCAAGATTTTATTTTATACCTGTAATTTGTTTGAATTATATTTTTAAACTTTTTAACTATATTTTTTAGGGTGCAACCAGTCAAATACCCAAAAAGCGACATTCCAGTTCTTTTCTGTTTCCTGAAGATATGCTGAATGATCCCCATGTCAGACAAAGAGCAATGAGTAGAGCAAGCATACTGACAAACACCGTAGAAGGTATGTAATAGTACTGCCACGGCCAGGTGGATCAGTTGACTGGAACGTCATCCCATGTACCAAAAGATTGCAGGTTCGATTCCTAGTCCGGGCACATACGCAGGTTTTGATTCTTGGTCAAGGCACATGCGGGAGGCAACCAACTAGTATTTCTCTCTTACATCAATGTTTCTCTCTCTGTCTGTCTGTCTGTCTGTCTCTCTCTCTCTCTCTCAAATCAATAAACATTTTTGAGTGAGAATTTTTAAAAAATTTATTTAAAAATTCTCTTTACTATGCAGATTTTTAAATAAAATCCAGATGAATTCTGATCAATATATGAGGTACTCAGGAAGAATTCAAAGAATTTAAAATGGTTATAAGCAATGGTAAAGATAGCCAGTGGGCACTAATGGAATCACTATATGTGCTTAACATGGATCAAATTATTTGTGATTAAAGATGGGCATTTGATGATACAACCTTCCAAAGATAAATAGCTTAATGATAATTAATGAAGAACCTACGTTAATGCATGATTGTGTGGTTCTCCCACTAGTTAATCTTAGAAACTTTACCTACCGACTCTGAATTTATCATCTCTCTAATATGTAAGAAAATAGTAAATACTTCCACCTGAAGCAACTGAGCACATTCTATAAAATCATAAAATGTTAACATGTGGCATGACATCTGTTAAAATTATGATGAAAACGCATTAGAGAAAGCAGGTTAGAGACTACACTGTCAATGACAGTGGTTAGACCTTCATATGCGTTGAGAAGAGAGTCAAAGGGTGACATCTTTTGTAATGTGCTGACTCCCATTCTCTCTCCCAAAAATATGCTCTAGTCCCTACCTTGTCCAAAGGCCCCCACCTCACCAGACAAAGTTTCCACCCACCTCCTAAATTTATAATGAGAAGCAAGTGGGCTAAAGGTATGAAATAGCAACTGTATGCGTCACTCCATAAAATATTTCAGTCTCCTTGTTCTGGGATTGTTTTCATCTGTGAGCTGGCAAGAGCTTCTCCTGGAAAGAGTAGAATTTCTTATTGTTGTCATGGAATGAAGGATACATGGGAGAAGTATGTATATTGTTGGAAAATTTACACGTCTCCCTTAAAAAAATAGATTGTCTTGTCTACCATCACAAAGTAGGCACATGTTTCTCAGAGAGATGCCGTATCTGCTTTCAGTCATTAATTTCACTGCCTTCCCCCACTTATGCATGACGTAGCAAATGAACATGTGATAGGAGATATTTATGTAATAATTCTATGATTTCATGGAGACAGTACTGTTAAATTTGCAAAGTCTAAATCAGAAGACCTGTTTCAATGTTAAAAAGTACTTCTGATTTGTAACTGGTTAGTAATAAATCACACAAATGATTTTCATTGTTCTCTCTCTTTTTTCTTTTTTCCTCCCAGAACTTGAAGAGTCCAGACAAAAATGTCCGCCTTGGTGGTACAGATTTGCACACACATTCCTGATCTGGAATTGCTCTCCATTTTGGATAAAATTTAAAAAGCTTATGTATATTATTGTAATGGATCCTTTTGTAGATCTTGCTATTACCATTTGCATAGTTTTAAACACACTGTTTATGGCTATGGAACATCATCCAATGACTACTGAATTCAAAACTGTGCTCACTGTGGGAAATTTGGTGAGTCACTTAAAGTGTTTTCTCTTTAGCTACTGTGACTGTCATTTTTTTAAGTTAGAAGGATACTCAGCTAGGTAATTATGCATATCCAGAATTCACAATATGAATCATGGTACAGAGTCAAGTTTCAGCCAAAGGGTCCCAGCTTATGATTCTTCATAAATATGAATCATTCTGGATGCCTCTGTGAATATCTGTATCAGATAAATTCACTTTTGCCTTAGTTCTAAACCAATTGATCTTTAAAGCTTTGCAAAGAGTGTTTCTGGGTTGGTCTTCTATCCCAAAATGCTTACAAATTTTCCTAGTCAGAATGTTTGTACCCCTTTTACTCTCTGAGTTAGCATTCTTCTTCCTTTTATTCCTCTTTAGAACAGCACAGGACTGTCTAGTTTCTAATTATTGATGGAGGTTCACATCATGAAAATCAATACCTTGTCACGGCATTGACTACCTCACTGTGAACACAGAAAGAATTCACTGTGTGTCTTATCTATTCCCACTGTTCCAAGTCTCAGTGCCCTCTAAGGATCTTCTTGATACCACATTATTTTAGAATGACTCATGTAGTTATAGACTTAAGCATTTCCCTTTGAAATTTCTTTGGTCAGTTTCTCTGAGTTAAATTATACCTGGCTTATGAATGATTCATAAACAAGTCTTTCACTGTTGCCTTTTTAAAGTGAGCTCTTTGATACCGGGGTCATGAATTAATGATGTTTTGTGATGCACTTTTGTGTCAAAGCTTTGGACGTCTTGCTTTAGCTGCCATTGTGTCAATTAAATACTTTTTCCTCTTCTATTGATAAATCTTTAAAGAGTGAGTCAACATGTTCTTTATTACTCTGAGTAGTCAGACCAGAAAAAAAGACTGGTTCAAAATCGCAGTATTTATGTTTTCTTTTTATTTTCTCTAGAATAACTTGTTGACCATATAAATTTTTTTGCAAATAGTGGCTGCATTAGTTGTCAGATGTTTTACTTATCTTGAACTTTAACATGCTCTTCTAAAGTGCTAAGGATAATGAGAACTGATGGGAGAATTAGCGCTTGACCCTTCAATGCTTGTATTAGGGCTGTAGGTAGGAATAATGATACTCATTAATAGAATTAATTGAGATAATAACATATATTTTTAAAGTATATAGCACATTGTTTGAGACTCAGTAAAAGCTAAATAGTATTTATCATCACTATGTTGATTCTGTTACTTTCTCATAATGTAAGAAAAAATTATATTTCTCACTTAGGTCTTTACTGGGATTTTTGCAGCTGAAATGGTTTTAAAATTAATTGCCATGGATCCATATAACTATTTCCAAGTAGGATGGAATATCTTTGACAGCCTTATTGTGACTTTAAGTTTAGTGGAGCTTTTTCTATCAGAAGTAGACGGATTATCAGTTCTCCGATCATTCAGACTGGTAAATATAGACCAAGCTTACATTATAGTCTATAGGTAAAAAACTGTTTCTTTGCGTTTGGATTATTATTATTATTTAAAACTTTCAGGGGTTTCGATCAGAAGAAAAGATTAGGTCCTGATGTCTAATAAAGTTTATTTAATAACAAATGCTCTTAAAGAGCTCAAAGCCACACGAATGTTTAATTTTAGAATATTGAAGACATATTTCATTGTATATACTCGTATAAGAGAAAATATTTCTTTTCCCAGTATGTCCTACTATGGACAATAATTTATTTACTGGTAAGAAGCTTATGGTTTACAGAATTTAAACCATTATAATATATGCATTACTTTGTGAATTTGATAATTAAAGATTAGATCATTGTTCCCCAAACAATTGTCATACAAAAATACAAAAAAAAAGTAAAGACTTTTTAAAGCATTTTTCTCTAACATGTTGGGAAACATTTATCCCTATGTCTGCATTAAAAAGTTTATAAAAGCATCAGAAAATAGAATTAGGGATAAATTTTTAATTCTATGTCTGAAACCATTTTAAAAGGCTTCTACAACATTCCTGAACTAAAATTACACACTTTCGTGAAAACATATGTGGTGATTATATTGTGGCAAATGTAACAAAGTAACAAATATTGTAAATAGATGAAAATGAAAAATACAAATAGTCGGGTTTTTTGGCTAAGTAATGACAGTATTTTATAACAAAATAAAACACAAGATTGAAACATTAAAAACTTATAATAATTAATACTATGCTTTTTGTTTACTTTCAGCTCCGAGTTTTCAAATTGGCAAAATCCTGGCCCACCCTGAACATGCTGATTAAGATCATCGGCAATTCCGTGGGGGCCCTGGGAAACCTCACCTTGGTGCTGGCCATCATCGTCTTCATTTTTGCCGTGGTCGGCATGCAGCTCTTCGGTAAAAGCTACAAAGATTGTGTCTGCAAGATTGACAGCGACTGTAAGCTCCCGCGTTGGCACATGAATGACTTCTTCCACTCCTTCCTGATTGTGTTCCGCGTGCTGTGTGGAGAGTGGATAGAGACCATGTGGGACTGCATGGAGGTCGCTGGCCAACCCATGTGCCTTATCGTTTACATGATGGTCATGGTCATTGGAAACCTCGTGGTATGTAATAAGGTGTTCACACATTTAAAATTCTCCATAGAACATTGTCATATGAGGATATGACTAGTTATTTTATAATTTTAGGATTAAATAGATCTAAAACTATTAATTATAAGAGCATTGGTCATTTAAACAGAGGGAATAACAGAAAAGACAATGTTAATCTTGTCTTAATTTTCCTGCAAGATAATCCATAGTTATATTTTTTACAAGATTTTGCCAGAGAACAATAAGAATATAGGATTATAATTAATAATACAGTATTATATACTTGAAAGTTGCTAAGAAAATAGAAGTTAAATGTTTTCACCATTAAAATAAATAAATAAATAATGGCATGATGGAGATAGGTAGATATTCCCTAATAATTTTGATTATACTAATATGAGGTGGATATTTTTGGCTATGAATAGATTTACATGAAAGGGTAATTCTGTTACCTTTTTGTTTTCTGTGTAAAACAATGGTTAAGTATAATTTACATGCTTTCAGCCCTCTGTAGGAATCCTTATTTTTTACAGCGTTGAGTTTACCTTATGCAGGAACAGCAGGAATGTTTCTGCATACAGACAGAGTGTTGCTTCAGAGATATTGTCCTGACCTCTTTTAAATCTCCTCTGGGGCCAAAATGATTGGCATTGAAGCCACCCAGCTCATAATCCCATTATCTCATTTAAATTGAGTTCGATGGGCAGGCCTTTTTCTCTCCTTTAAAAGCCTCATTAAGTTGCAAGCTGGCACAATTCTTGGACAGAATATTTTATTACAGGAGGTCTGCAAGTATTACATGTTCCATTTGTTGCAACAAGTGAAATTTATCTTCAGGGAAAAGTGACTTGGCCTAAGTGTCTTCAGCACAGCCGACAGTAGTTGCAGTTTTCTTGTTCTGCTTGTTTCTCACTGGTAACAAATATTAGTTAAATGTAGACATTAGCAGGGCTGATTAGGTCTGGAAGACGGAATTTGGCCAAGGGCCTCCTGCTGCAGGGATGAATTTCAGAATGACTTAATGGTAAAAGTGAAGGGAGTGTTCTCTCTGCTCCTGCTGCTAGTCCCGCAGGGCTCTGGCTCAGCTTCCAGAGTTCACAGGAGCTAGTACGGGGAGAGGTTGGTGAGGAGTCTCACCTCTCAACTACCCCATCACACGTTCTCATCTATGTGTGGAGAGTGTGGGGATCTTCATCACTGGTGTGGGTTTTGACCTTTATTTCAGAAAAGTGTACTTATTTCCTGTCTCCCTATTTCCCCACACCCATCCCCACCCTAATATAGGTCCTCAACCTATTTCTGGCTTTATTACTGAGCTCATTTAGTTCAGACAACCTTACAGCCAATGAAGAAGAAACTGATGTAAACAATCTCCAGATTGCAGTGGCCAGAATAAAGAAGGGAATAAATTATGTGAAACAAACCTTACGTGAATTTATTCTAAAAGCATTTGCCAAAAAGCCAAAGATTTCCAAAGAGATAAGACAAGCAGAAGATCTAAATAGTAAGAAGGAAAACTATATCTCTAACCGTACACTTGCTGAATTGTGCAAGGATCACAATTTCCACAAGGAAAAAGATAAACCTGGTGGCTTTGGAAGGAATGTGGACAAATACTTGATGGAAGAAAGTGATTACCAGTCTTTTATTCACAATCCCAGCCTCACAGTGACTGTGCCAATTGCACCTGGGGAATCTGATTTGGAAAACATGAACATGGAGGAACTTAGCAGTGATTCAGATAGTGAATACAGCAAAGGGGTAAGAGTGTTTTATACACATTGCATTTCACATTGTTAATTAGTATGAAGATTCATAATTTCAGATTTGTGTGTTGTAAGTTCTTACTCATATTGCATACTGATGGATAGTTTTTATGTGTGTGATTTTCCAAGGCAGCATCCTGATGGTTCATCTGGTAAGGTTTTATTTAGTGGTTCTTATTAATTGATTTAATCTTGGTTAGCTATATTTGAAAGCACCAGGTATCTTTAAGTCTTCCCTTCCTTCATTCCCAGTTTGTTATCAGTTACAAAGTCATATACAGTTTTCTTCCACAGTGTCTGTTCAGTCCACTGCTCTTTTTTATCACCTTTACCTTTGAACTCACTACTCCTTGCCTCAGCCATTCCAAGTAGAGTCCCAGCTGGTGTCTCTGTCTCCATTTTTCATCTATTCTAATCGACTTATTTGATTAATTTTACTTGGATTCAGTCCTAATCCTGTCACTTCTTTAAAGTGTCCTTGGTCTCCTGAATTACAGACTGTTGATAAAGCCTTCATTTCCTGGCCCCCACCGTATTTGACCCACTGTGCCTCCTAGTGTTTGCGTGGAGCTCTTACATCTGTACAAGCCAATTTCCTTCATGCACTACCCGAATGACTTTGCTTGGGATTTCCTTCTTCAGTCAAAATGCTATACACATCTTCAAAGACACTGCCTTCAGCTTTTTCATTTGAAAAATTATTAGTCCTTGCATCATAGGGTTGGGTGAGGGTTAACTGAATTAACCCATGTAGAATGCTTAGAATGTACTGAGAATGCTCAAAAGTGGGAGCTATTACATCCTTTCTGATTTCTCCCCAAGCCGATGTGATCTCTCCTCATTTTGAACCCCACACAGTGCTAAGTTTCTTCTTGGATCTATTATTTAGTTTTATATTTTAAATTTTTTGAGAAATGATTATATGCATTAAATAGTACTATAAACTCATTGAGAACAGGAATCGTATTAAAACTTTTTTGCATCCTTTCTCATACCATGTTGCATATATTCAAAGTATTATTGAGCTACATTTTAATTAATATGGAATATGATAATCATATTTTTATCATAGCATTTAATGGCATCTACTTAAACTTCTAAGATATCTCTTTAAATTTTATTCCTTTCTTTAGATCACATTTGAAACTCTTTGACAGGTATTTACCAAATGCCTTTATTTGTTTAGCCCTATATTAAAGCTGACCTCCGAGCATTTATATTGGATTTTGGAATAAAGATCCACAGCTGTGTGTGTGTGTGTGTGTGTGTGTGTGTGTGTGTGTGTGTGTGTACTGGCCTTATGACCAGTACTAGGTGCATAGTAATTGCTCAATCGTTATTAAGTAAATAGATGATTAAATAAATTAGGAAAGTATGTTTCTAAGTAGGGAAAGAAATTCTTTGCAAGATAACTAAGTAAGGAATAAAATATTTTATTTTTAAAACCTTACACGGAAGAAGTAATATCACCAAAATTCAGAAGTTGTGATTATTGTTGTTATTATTGTTATTTTTGGCTTAAAGATAGAAAATCAGATACTACATATCTTTTTTAGGAACAATAATCTGGGTCTAGTCTCATATGGAAAGGGAAATTAATTCAATAGCCCCCTTTTTTGCTAATAATGATTAGGGTTGCAAAACCCCAATTAACCTGAGAGACTTTCTGAAGGGGCTGGGATTCTAGTTGTTAAGGTACTTTGGTAGCTCAGCAGAGTTTACTGAACACTCTCATATCTTGATATTTGGGAGGAATCACTTCTTACCTGGTCAGTTTTCCTTTGCTCAAAGCCCATGGCTAACCTTACATGAATATCCTTAGTTGCTAGTAAAAGTCTTATTCTTAATATGCTGAACTATAACATTTTAATCAGAACCTTATAGATCTGCCCAGTTAGCACCTCATTTTATAACTGAGGAAGCCAGTTCAGTAAGAGGAAATGAGGGTATGTACAGTTATAATGCTAGTTAAAGGCAGAGCCTGGCAAGAGTCCCAATCTTGTGATTCATAGATCAGTCCTATTTCTATCTCTCCCCTCTCTCCATCTTCGTCCATTTAAGGTATAAAACACATATTCCTATTGGAGTTAATACCCAAGTTGTCTCTTACGGGGTACTAGTCCATGCTTCTGAAGAATTTACATACTCTGTGGCATTCAGAGGAGGTTTTTGATATCTCTTAGTCTATAAACTATTATGTACTGAACAAAAAAAGTCATTCTGCCACCTATCCCATAAACTCTTTCTAAAAATGCATGAAATTTAATGTCCTTAAATGTTACCTTAAAACCATTTGATGGTAATGTTCTAATATTCTTGATTATCATTTAATGACATAGCAACAAAGAGAAAAATACACACTTTTTCTATTTCGTATCTGTGGTTTAAATGGTTATATACAGGAACTTGTAATAAAGAATATCTAAACTAATCTCTTAAAGTTATTTAGCAAAGTATTTGAATTGGTAAGCCCCCCAAAATGTTGGCTATTGTGTTTATTATTGAATTTATCATCATTACCATCTAAAAGAAGTGCAGATTTTAAACTATAAATTTTGAGAGTTTGCCCTTCTTTATAAGAAAATATCCATGATGTTTCTCAAAGTGTAATCCTGAGTACATTCATACATACTAGACTATATGCTGGACTTGAGAAATAATAACAATTCAAGATTTATAGGAAATTTGTCAGATAGCTTAGAGACAGCATTAAGCTGTCATCAGCTATGAAAACCTGTGTCTAAAATCTCTCTCCCATTGCTTGAGATTTAGGTGTTCCTAGTTACCACCTGGATTCGGTTTTGGTTTTCAAGTTGAACCACTGAAAATGCTGACTTTCTTTATCCAAATTGTTTCTACTAGGCTTCCTTGCTAACTTCCCTGCCCTAATTCCCCGCATCTTCAGCTTCCCCTTGAGTTCCCAGAGTTTGGTTTGTTGTTTTTTTTTTTTAATGTCTGGGTTATGATAGTCCATGCGATCTTTTTACTTTCTTTCAAAACACATTTTTTCAAGTTATGGTGAAAATAACAGAGGAAGCAAAAGTCAGTGTAGTAAAATTTTCTTTCTTTTTTTTTTAATTGTTCAAATGCATTTGTCTCCATTTTCCCACCACCACTTTCCCCCGCCCTACCCACCCCCACCTCCCACCCTCAATCCTTCCCCACTTTGGCTTTGTCCATGGGTCCTTTGTACATGTTCCGTGATTTCACTTTTCCCCTTCTTTCCCCGTTACTCCCCACCTTCCCTCTCATTACTGTCGGTTTCTTTTTTCTTTCAATGTTGCTGATTATATATTGCTTGCTTGTTTGTTTTGTTGAGTAAGTTCCACTTATAGGTGAGATCGTATGGTATTTGTCTTTCACACCCTGGCTTATTTCACTTATCCTAATGCTGTCCATTTTTTTAGTTTCTGTATATGCAAATTAAAATTATAATGAATATTGAAGAATTTATGTTAATAATTAGACAAGTGCTTTTCAGAGAGGAAGTGCCCGATTAACAATCATTATGGGTATGAAATTGAACAGCCACAAACACACTGTCAGGAGCTGTTTGCTACCGGTTAAACTTAAGAGAGGCAGCATGATGTAGATCAGTGGTTTACAACTTCTGTGTGTAAAGACACACAGGGAGCCTGTTCTCAGGCTCCAAAGGAGAGGTTTACAAAAAGCATTAATTTGAGCAAAAAGGATTGCAGTCCCGTAGGCACAGATTCAGGTAGCAATCCAAATTACACTCTGAAAAGAACAAAGAAAGGCGGGGTCTAAAAAGGCAAAAACTGCAAATGCAGTTCCCATTTCGGTCCTCCATGCAAATGAAGGATTGCTAACTAGGTAACCGGGATTGGTTAAGTTCCAATATACAAATGATGTTGGCAGAAACTACCAGGCAGCAGTTGCCATTCCAGGGCATTTACAGCAGGGCCTGGAGCTGAGTTTAGAAACAAGTTAGCAAATTAATAGCAGTTCTAAGAACTGACACAGGAGAGATGCATAGGCCCCACTTCCTCAGTGGCCTCCCAACTCTATTTCAGGGACTTTCTTAGCAATGCAGAATTCCCTTTACTTTTTTCCCTTATCAGCCACATCCTCTGAACTCTCCCTGCCTCAGTCGGTGGGTACGCAGGGTCAGCATCCTTACCTGCAGTGTTCTCAGTGGCCACTGTGACGGGTTGAGTTGCCCTGGGAAATGAACCCAAACTCACCCAGCTTGTTTTGATCCAGGTTTCCCTATCTTTACTCAGCGCCTGGTGATATTCCCCTTCTTGTGAATTTAAGAATTTGCATTTTGAACAAAGGGGAAAAGAAAATCTTTAACCTTTGACACCTCTCTCTCAAAAAAAGAAAGAAAAGAAAACAACCCTGTCTTTTAAGTCCTAGTATCCTATTTTCCCCATATATTTTATGGAGACTTTTCCATCTTTTAGTATCAGCTCTCAGATAGGCAGGTTACCTTGTCCTGACAGACAGTTAAATATACACTTTACAATGAAATAAAGATATTTCATAATAAAATGCCTTACCAGGGAATGGTCAAAGAGATGATTTCAAGTAACGTATTGAGTAAAATATCTTCAACAGTTGTTAGAAAATTATTGGCAATAGAACATTAGCATTTCTCTGAAGATGAAATTTGTCTCAGAATCAAGAAAGACACACTGCCATTGCCCATGGACCCATGAAAGTAAGATTCCTGTCTCTGCATTTCATAATAAAGACACTGAATACACTCCCCTCTCAGAATCAGCCTATTCCTGAGGCCAAACATTAACAACACAATGTACAGATTTTTACCATTAGCAGTGAAGCCTTTCATTATCCTGAACCTTAAATGAAGCATGAAATATTTATTGAGATCTCTGCTGCAGGCATTGTGCTAACAGTGCTTAGGAAAAAATTCTTTCCCCCAGCTGCAGTCATTTGATGTGATTGACATCTGGCTTAACTAAATTCTTAAGAAGTGTAGTTTTTGTTTTTCTTTTAAATTGTGCCAAG